ACAGTTGAAATCCACCAATGCGCTGAGTAATGAAGCGAAAATAGAGGGAGGTATATCTGGACGATTCATATCGCGATGGACACGTTGTACAATCTTCCAAAAGCGTAAGTGTTGTCAGTGCTGAGAACACAAGACGGCGCACAGTCCACATGCTTCGAGCATCCAAGCTGGCCTTTTGAAGCTCCACCTAGTTCGAACGTTGTCAGCTACTCGGGAAAAACGGTGAGTTGAATGTAAAAGTCTCACAGGTATCTTGTCGTCTCCTGTACATAGATGCCAGCAAAGATCCCTGACATTATCAAGTTTAATACTGATCAGAACAGAGATTCATCAACGTCCGTCGCCCAAGTCATAATAAAAACGAACAAGTATGCATTTTTGTGATCTTTATCTTTCACTCTCTCGATCAGCCACCACTGATCTTCACGATGCGAAGCAAGTACTTGTGCCTTGACCTTGTGAGGGTGGTGAGCGACTGCATCATACTCGTCGTATTTCACGTTTATAAGCCGATAGCGATTGTGATCGCCTGCTTCAAGTTTCCACTGTATGTCAGTATGGATATTAGCGGTGACGCATTACGAACCAATTCAAGGAAAGTGCCACACCAGCTCTTCCGTACGAGGTGAATCTTGAGGCGTAGGGACAACGCAAAATAATGGTTCACCGTCGTCGTCATTCAACATCCTCACCCTATTATGATACTGAGCGTTTGTGATTGTCACCACACCGGATAAATGAGTCTCCATCGCGCAGCCTGATCAATTCCACGTCAAGTAATATCACTGTCTGTCTATTGTCAGTATTTAGGCTTAACATGAGACGTGATACACAGACCTCGCGCGGCAATACGGATGGGAGTACAACAGAGGATATAAGAGAACGAGCAGCTGCCGAAGGACGGATGCTGATACTTAACCTGAGGCTATTAGACGCTGCCATGCGGACTCTGCACGGACAGCTGCAGCTCGCCTCACGAATGTCTGCTTGAAGGAACCAACGGCACTTCCGAGTGCTCCGCACTGCGCTTCAAGCTCTCCCTCGCTGCATGCTGCCCATCTTTTACTTCCCTATCGCCAAAGTCCACAGTATGTACCTCACCATGTGTCCGTCAATGGCCTGCCTTCAACGTCAAAATCGCCATGACAATTTACTGCAATGAGCCCTGAGGTGCCATGTCTCGACTTTGTCGAAGGAGTAAAACAACATGATGCAAACGCAGACTTCATGCAGATCTTGCTCTCTCTTGCTCATGACACATCGCAGAACGTGTTGTGTGGTCCGATCGTAAGCGCGGTAAGTAGTCGCGAAGAAATACATGCAAGGATCCGATGGCACCCTTTTGTAACGTTTTTCTGCATCGGTATGTCTATTACGAACGTTTTCTTGCGTCTCGGATATCGGCTGCCTATGCGCGGCTAGAGGTGCGATATGGTTGTGAATCATCAAGTGTACTCGAAATTAGATCAAGAAGGTGTTGAAGAGAGGGAAAGTTGTTCCGGTCCTATGACAAGCTCTTGACAAGCTCTGGAGACCACGGACGATTGCACAAGATACGTACTAAGTCAATTCCATGTAAATCGGGTCTGAGCGGCGAGAAGGCGCAGAACGATGTGGGGTACATCCTCGCGGTGCGCATGCGGCATGGACAACGTGGGCATCAAAAGGACGGCATCTGGCAGAGGCGGACTGGTGAGTGAGTATGAATAAACTCAGGGAGGTACAATTTGAATGTCCTGAGCAGTCACGATGAGAACAGCGACTCTGAGTCGGACTGTTTAGCCAAGCCCCGGCATATCCTCCACCCGCGTTTATCGCGGACATGCAGGTTGCTGATTATCTCATTGATGAGCGTAACGGCACAGCGAGCGCAGGGACTTCCCGCGCGGAATCACTTCTTAGTTCGGGTACGAGCCAGGGAGACGAATCGGGGTGATTACCGCCCCGCATTAACTCACTCTTTATACTCTGCATGTACCATATGGTATGGAGTATAAACCCTGGAATTTTTAAAAAAAGAGTCGGACTGTTTACACGTAGACGGAGGAGCGCGAGCCGCTGGAAAGGGCGCTTATGTTACCCTAACCTAATCCCTTGGGTGTCTTTTCTTCAATTCCAAGTTCACGCTGTAGGAACTGTAACATATAATCTCAATCCGACGTTGTGTAGATGGAGGACTAATGTATGTACCTGTAATATATAACTAGAGAGCTATAAGTAATATATCACATAGAATGAAGGACATAAGCACTCTCAATCCGACGTCGTGTGGACGGAGGACTGAGGTGCGCGGGCAACGATGTAAAAAGTATCGTACCACGAGTTACCTAATTTAGAAGGACGGTAAATAAGATAAGGAACGAGTAGACTAAGTAGGTAATAGTGTCCGTTTGTATTACTGCCTTCACAATCCATTTACTTCGACACACGCTCATCTCTGCTTCCACTGCGTGCTTTCGCTACTCTTTCTGTCGCTCACACCATCGTCTCTCTGATCCTCTTACTCACCGACGCGCGTGCATTCCGCACACCCCGCGCTCTGGCTCATGTATTTCTGCATTTCCTCCCAGTCCACCTGCGACTCCCATGCTCTAGATCCGTCTTTCACTCATCTTGTACAGTGTACACCCTCACGCCGAACCTGTGTCGGGGGCTGTCGCGAACGGGAGGGAAGAAGAGCATCCCATACGTATCAACGATGGCGCTGGCTATCAAGCGTTACAATGCGTGCGTTGTCGCGCGAGAGTACTCGATCTTGGCCAGGCACCACCGACAGTTTCCCTATCTGAGATTCTCCACCCGCCGAGCGATCCACTTATTGCTTAGTGTGTGTTTTTTCTATTGCCTCTCGCCTCGTACCGTAAAGAGCAAGTCATACGCGTATTTATGAAGTTCCCGACAACATCTCTGGTTTGATTCGAACACGGCTGCGTTCACAGTCTTTTATGCTGCCGTTGAGAGGTCCAGATGCTGTACCTTGTCTCAAAATCTCAGGGATCCTCCATCTTGCGGCTGCTGTGAAATGGTACGCTTCAACGTCTCTGCAATACAAATCATGCGTGGCGCGCTGTCAACGAATTGCATCCACCATCACGCGCCATGCACTGATTCTGATCCACCCAAAGCCGAGCAGCTGGCAAAATACGGACCTCTTACATCCCTGAGCACTGTGATTCGTAGCAGATCCAGCCAATGCAGGCGCGTGCGTTACATCTCCTTCCACTACGCTGGCCTCTCCGTTCGATACAAAGGGCCGCCCTGCCCGTGCCCACTCTCCAGTCACCAACCACACTCCAACCCTCTCAAACCACAATGTCTGTGAGTGCCGATGTGACTGTGCGCGCCGTTAGCAGAGCCAACGCTGATTCGATTCGCCCACACAGGACACCGCGAAGTGTGCCAAGACCGAGGCCAACGGCGGCACCTGCAACTTGCCCGCATGCGGCTGTGCTGAGCCCCCCAAGAGCAAGTAAATGTGCATCTGCAGCGTTGCTGTCGTCATCTTTAGGTATGCCCTTCCCCCCTCGCGGTTGTCGGGCGT